AAAGGCAGCAAAAAAAAAAAAAAAATTTATACAAAAAGAGGCCCTAGCACAACTTGCTACCAAGCAAATGCACCCATATCATACACACACACACACACACAGAGTTGCATATGCAATGCTTTGATATTGAGCATGATTAGCACAGTTGTTGATGGTGCCATAAAACCGATTCGGTCTCAGTATAACAGGTGTTTAGAGGCAATTCAAAACGGTTAAATTGAACCTGTTTTGCTGGGCTAAAACCAGACAAGAAATATTTATAGTTACTAGTTTAATTTTAATTTTAAAAAAATAGTTGTGATACTTTCTGGTAATTTAAATAAATCAGTAAAAATTTTTACATAGATAAATAAAAGATTGTACAAAAATTGGATTTACTCTATTAAAAAGTTTTTGGAACGATCGAATCGAACTAGTTTTATAACAAGCAAATTTCCAAAATTGATGTCGAACTTCTCCTCGAATGTGTTTTAGTTCTGCCAACAGGTGAACGGCTTAAATGATACCCTATCAATAGTGAATCAGGAAACTGACTCACTGCACGCAACACACACACACACACACACATATATATATGCCAAATCAGAACACACACACAGAAACACATCAGCATTATGATTTAATTGCACAAAAGAATGAGTGGGGGGACAATGTTGTGCAATTTTGCGGAGCAACAAAAGAGCATCAGAGTCATAACAAGCAAAGCAAGTGACTGGCCAGACTCGGACCCAGACCTACAGTCGTCAAGGAGAGTGAAGTGAAGTGTGCAAGGAAAAGGAAGACCGTAAAAAGGAGCATCATTCATACACGAAATTCGGGAAAGAAAAGAGAGAAGAGCGAAGAGAGAAGTAAGAGAGCGTCGCGATGACAAGGCAACGACAACCATGACCCACACCAACAAACAGGAAGCGAAACGACAAAATAAACGCCAAAACCGCTTTGCCAAAAAACCCAGCAACTGTAATAAAAATACAACATGCAAAAGACTGCGGCAGCAGAGAGAGAGAAAGAGAGAGAGAGAGAGAGAGAGAGAGAGAGAGAGAGAGAGAGAGAGAGAGAGAGCGAGAGCGACTCAGCAAAAGAGAGTAGAGTCTGCAGGCAGAGCGAGAGGAATCATTTACTCGCTTCAACGCCAAATTTCAATTACAATTACCAACACGGCGACAAGAGCAAGGTTGCCACATTTGGTACAAATGTACCAAAACTGGTACAATTGGGTTTTTTATTATTTTTTTAATATTTACATTGGTACATTTTTTGCTCTTTTTCGTAAAAACCACAAAATAAATGTAGTTCATATTTGTAAAGATTGTGCAAAACAATATTTCATTAGTCAGAAAAACATTTAGAAGAATTACATTTACTAAATAAAAATGATACTTTTTAAACTAAAAATAATACTTTTTTTTAATAATTTGAACAAAGTATGCAAAATAAAAAATTCACTGCTCAAGAAAACATTTAGAAAAATTACATTTACCATATAAAAAGTATATTTTTCAACAAAAGCAATATTTGCTTTTACTGTTTGGTACATTTCATAATTTGGCCAATTGGACAAGATGCTTCCATATTTAAATTATGAATAAAAACATTTATAAAAATATCATTTACTATACAAAAAAATTATGCTTTCAACAAAAAGTAAGTTTGGTACATTTAAAAACTTTGCCAATTGGCAACCATGGAGAAGAGTGCCGAAAAATATTGAAGCGTAGACAGCGAAGTATGCAAAGTCAAAAAAAGAAGAAGAACGAGAGTGTGGGGCGAGGGGCGAGGCGCGCATTGGAGGCGTGGCAGTGCAGCTTAGTGTGAATGAAGCATAAACTACGCGCCGCACATAGCAGCACACAGCAGAATAAGAAGCCGAAAAAAAGTCGTCACAGACCCCCAGCCAAACAGACGCATACAATCATGCACGTAGTGGGTATGTGTGTGTGTGTGTATGAGTATGTGTGTGTATGAGTATGTGTGTGTATGAGTATGTGTATGTATGAGTGTGTGTGTGTACATATGGCTATTAAAAATGGCTGCTAACATGACTGCGAACATGGAAGAAGGCAGCGCAACAGACAGAGACGAAGCACACACACCAATACACACTAACACAAACACAAACGCACAAATACACACACACACCAACACACACACACACGAACACAAACACACACACGAACACAAACACACACACACACATGCATGCATGCATGCATATAACTCCAACAGCAGGCAGCATTTAAATCGGAGCAATGGCAACACCGGCAGAGCAGAGCCAGCAGCTCCAATGCTCCAGTACGAATGAAGTTGCAAAACAGAATGCGCAAAGGTTAATCAACTCTGCATTTGGCTTTGGCTTTGCCTTTGCCCGTTGCCTTTGCCTGTGCCAACTTGCCAACTTCCCAACTCGCCACTGGGATTTTTCAAATGGCAGAAGAGTCGTCGCCTCCACGCCAAAACTCAACTCAACGTCTCCATTGCAGCTCTCCACGCGCAGCGCCATGTTGTTGTCTGTGGCTCCGTCGCACAACCAAGAAAACGGAGTAGGCAACATTCACAAACAACAACAACAACAAAAGCAACAACAGCAACAAACGGCATCTAATTGAATTGCTTGCATGTGCCGCTTATCTCACAGTTTGTCTGCTAGTATGTGTGTGTGTGTGTATGTTGCCTATGTATGCAACTCCCATGACAATGGCATTGAAAGAGCACCGTGCAAGCAAGCAAACGTTTAAGGGGGAAGCGCGAGAGAGAACGAGAGGGACAGCGTGTAAGAGAGCAATGCAGCGAGCTTAAGAGCGCGCGCTTGCAAATGGCGTATTGCATAATTTTGTGCAATTGAGCTTTGTGTAGGTGCCAATGACTGTGTGTGTATGTGTGTGTGTGTGTTTATGTGTGTGTTTTTGTGTGTGTGACATTGGCTTTCATATGCTGAAACCCTTGTTGGCCTTGGTTTTTTGAGATTGGCGGAGAATTGGGAATTTGCCCTGCGGGATTGCATTGAAAGGGACTGAATAAATAAAATAAAAATATAAATAAAAGATAATTGCTGAATATTGTGCTTTAAATTATTTTTATTCAAGTAATTAAATTTATGTCTATAAAGTATATTTATTAAAAAATCCTTAAACACACAAATAATATTAAGACCATTGTTGAAGTATTTTTTTAATACGCTCATATATAAAAGAAAAAAATATTATTCCCTAACTAATAATTTTTCTTTATTATCGAAAAATGTGGCGCACATCTAAAACAAATAAATATTATTAATTAAATATTAATTTTGTTCATAAATTGATTTTAAATTATTTCCTACTCAATTTTTAATATGTGAATATTAATAATGAAAAATACAATGCACGGAAATTGAACAATCAAGTTACAAATTTAAGTGACCAGCGGCCAAATACAAATACACCCACACACACAGACCCAGACAAAGGGTCGGCCATTAAAAATTAAAATTAATAGCCTCGAGTTCGATTTTCATGCAAAAATTTGCACATGATTGCTCGCCGTTGAATCGTGGAAATCGATGATTAATGTGCAAAATAAGTGAATTCGCAATATATAATTTGCACAATGCTGCGTTTAAGTATTATTCTCATTTTAATGCAAATTTCGATTACGACATTGTATTTGCATAAATGGCTGTAAAAGATATCGACTTCTGGCATTCCCCTGGCGTATGCTTAATGTGCCTACTTTTAGACCAACGCTTATCATTCAGTAAGCACACAAAACACAAAAATCCCAAAATAATTACAGCTTATGAAATGACAAAAACTTTTGTTTCTTTTTTGTTTGTTTGTGTAGGGAGCAGTTAAATGAGTGCAATGCGGGCCAAAAACCAAAATCAAAACAAGCAAAAAGTAAACAAATGCGCGCTAAGAGCACAATTTAAATATATAAGAGCATTAGTGCAGTGCAAAGAGAGCACAAGAGAGCTTTTGCCGATTGCGGGGCAATGGCAATACAAAGCTCTCGCTGTCGCGCTGCCGCTGCTTACTGAGCTGTTACCGGTTTTTTCTTTCATTTTTTTTTGCGCGCGACGGCAGCGTCGCAACATAAGTAGGAAGGAAACGAGAAAGCGCTGACGTCGCTGCCGCTGCCGCTATCGCTGCCTTTGTCGACGCCGTCGTTGTTGTTGACTGTGCGAAATTTTGTTGAGGCAGGTCCTGGCCAAAATAGGTACAGCCAACGAACTGCTCTCAGACAGAACGCGACGTTTGTGTTACGTGCGTGTGTGTGTGTGAGTTGTGCTGCTGCCACCAATGGGTGAAGACGCAGCAGCATTTTGGCAGCGTCTCGCTGTTGTATGTGTGTGTGTGTGTGCAAGCAAGAACAACAGCGAACAGCAGGCACAACAAACATAAGCAACATTTAGTCAAAACATACGATAGATACAGAGACACACACACACACATAGGTACGCTCAGCTGCAGCAGCAGACCGTGCTGCTCGCAGCGACTGCGCTGCTCAGTCGCATTTCAGAGTTTTGAGTTTTGTTGTTTCGAGCATTTGCCGTTCAGGAAGCGCAACGCCAAGTTGCCCAAAAACGTAGCAAACTAAAGCTAACACATACATATATGTATATACATATATATATATTAGATAAACACATATATGTACTTCTATATATGTATATTCACATGGCTATAACCGTTAGTTTTTGATTATCTGGTGTGCAATTTTTTAGTGTGTGTGTGTTTCTTTGAATTTCTGTTCAGATTTTTCGTTTGCATCTCTGTTTTGTTGTTTTTTTTTGAGTTGGTATGGTGGAGAGGGGGGCGGGGGGAATGGCTATGAATATGTAATGCAGTTTCCATCTTTGTTGCAAATTGAATTGCAGCTTGCTGCAGTAAGAACAACGGAGCAGCAAACGGCTTACGTGGCCAGAGGAGAAATCTATTGAGAGATTTACCTACAGCCAAAACGAATGCAGCAAATATTGGCAATAAAAATAAACTAATACTCCAATTTCTTTATATTTACAGTTGCAACACGATGCGCTCAAAAGGTGCAGCAAAAGGAAATACTTCTCTTCATTGAACCTGGTCGCAGTAAGAGGAATTCAAATTAAAATGAATGAATGAAATGAATTAAAATGAATAGTAAACGTTTTGTTTCTTTCAGCTCCACTGCACAAAGGAAAAACGAATTTCACAACAATCGTAAATGGGGAGAAAATGTGGAATACTCACGGCTCACATATAAGCCAATATCAAATTATAATCAAATAATGAGAAATGGTGCATACTTACATATGGACCATTAACAGAAACCCGTAAATCCGAACTTGTGCTGTTTTTTATCTGTTACAAGACCGGCATTATGGGAGTCTGTCAATGCAAACAACTGGTTTTTGGCAACAAAAGACTACAAAAGAAACATTAAAACATATCAAGCAACAAGAATATGTAAAGCAACAAAAGCACAGAGAAAACAAAGAACTATAAATGAAATTTTATCAACAAACAAACAATAAGGAACTAAATAATAACACATAACTTAATATTATAAAAATATGTTCATAAAAATTCAAATCAAATACATTCAAAATCAATAATATAATTATGTTATAATCATGAAGAAACAACATAACCCTAAAAAGCAAAAATATAAAATCAAACTAAGCCAGTAAAACACAAGAAAACTATAATAAAATTTTAGACAACTTAACAAACATGAAATCATAAAGGAAAAATAATATAAATGCACCCAAACAACTAAATATTTATATAAAGCAAAATGCATTTCATTTAATATAAATAAAATATTTGTGTATATTAAAAATACACAAATAGAAATAAATAATAATAACTCTTGCACATACAGCCTTAAATATATAATATATAATTAAATTTGTTCATATTGTGCTATAAATCATAAACCATATAAATTCAAAAACATATTCAAAATATTTTGTTGCTTTTATTAACAGGCAAAATAAAAAATTCGCATAAAATCATGAAAATTATCGAATTGGTGATTAATTTAAACAAGTATTTTCTGAGACTCCCAATTATTGTATGTTTTTGCACCACAACCACAAGATTTTGTTGCTTCATTTTGTTTGTTATTTTGCCAAAGATATATAAAAACCATAAGAGCTGATGATCCCAACCTGTACCTAAACAAGAACAAAAACAAAAAACAAAAACCAGCAAGCAAAAAGGACTACACCAAGGACCTTTTTCTCTCTGGCAAATTGAGGTAGTAGGTTGTATAGTAGTATCTATCTACCATACTATACAGCTTGCTAGCTTTCTTTGCTTGACTATAAGCAGCATAGAACGAAACCCTCTCACACACTGAAAAAAAAAACACCACTGAATCTCAAATCCCAGCCATACAATGTGTGTGCGTGTGTGTGTATGTGTTGCTTGTGCGTGTGTGTAAAAGTGATTTATTGAAATTGAAAAATAGAAAAGAAAAAAAAGTATATATATATTTATATATACAGGCAAATATATATCATAATCGATCTCATATGAAATTCACTGCATATTTACACATTGGTATTAGTGACATGTGCAAATGTTTGTATGGCTGATTCCCTGAGACCCTAACTTGTGACTTTTAATACCAGTTTCACAAGTTTTGATCTCCGGTATTGGACGCAAACTTGCTGATGTTAGTAAAAAAAAACAAAAACAATAAAACAAAAAGCAAAACAAGAAGCAAAACGGTTGGAACATTCCTTAAGGGATGGTAAAGCATTTTGTGTAATAGATTCCTTATCTAATTTGTAAAGTCTTTACTGAATAATCCCAGCAGAGAACTGAAGTTCTGAGTGACGATGATGAAATTTGTAGATCTGCCAACTTGCTGATGAATATGAAGCATGTCTTGGGAGAGACTCTCTGGCAAATACAGCACTGTAAGTATTAATATTCATTGACAAAAAATGATCAACAACGGTAACAAGGGAACAACAAACCATTGTTTAATAATTATAAGTTTTGCATAAAAACTCTCTTGTTTTTAGAGATTTGTTCAAATTGAAATATTCTTTCGATAAAGTAGGTTTTCGAAAAGATCTAATCTGACTCTTTGAAATGCTTTAACTCTTTTTTCTGTTAACAACTAAACCAATAATGAATATTTTATTTCTTTGCAGTTTAAACTGACGATATTTGCACTGCGTTCACATACATCAAATACAAATACACTTGTTAATTGGACTTATTCGAGAAACATTTATTGTAAAACCCAAAAGTTGGATTCTCTTTTATCTGATACACCATACACAACAAAGGATTATATAATAAAGCTTATGTAAAAACTACGTTTAAATGCTAATTTGGAGATGTGAATATGAAAAAATGTGAGAAGTGAAAAGTGAGCTGGAACAATTTCATTGTCCCTCTGATACAATCGTTGAGAACATATAAAAAATATAGATAAAGTGTGTTTATGTTTATCTAAAGGCCGTTTCACTGATGCGTGCACTTGTTGTCCTTCGATTTCTTTTTACGATCTTCACTTGAATTTGATCGGCGCGTACCCTGAATTGGCATATAAGGCGGCGTGGGACTGGAGCTTGGATCTGTATACATTTGACATAAACAAATATATTAATATAAAGAGCAGTTGTTGTCAATGGATGCTTTAAATACATATATACCAAAGTTGCCGGACTTGGAGTATTTCATGTGCGGCGACACATCATGACCGCTGGACAGTGTGCTGTCATGTGAACCCGCCTCCGAGCCATAGTTCTCCGAGCTAAATTAAAAAAAATATAGTTTTACTTTAGGAATGGATAATGGAAAATACAAATTTACCGCGTCATCGAATTATGCTGTTGCTGCTGCTGCTGCTGCAATTGCTGCACTGTCTCCGCAGCCAAATGCAATGAAATGGGTCGCTGTCCATTTCCGGCCAGTCGACAGCTGTCCACGGGCAGCGTGTAGATGTCGTCCTCGCCACGTGTCAGACTGCTAGCTGCTGCGGCCGCCTGTCGCTGTTGCCGCTGCATAGAGCCGTGTGTGGAGGAGCTGCTGTCCCGAGTCAGACTGCCATTGGTTAGAGTGCCATTCGGCTGACGTTGCTCGCGACTGTTGTTGAGCACATCAATCGGATTGGAATAGGCCTCCACATCGATATCGGCTGGCGTTTGTGACGACGACATGCAGTCCTGTGGCAGTGCCATCAGTGGGCCACAATGGGACGATCCGTTCGTGCCACACAACAAGCCGTTCACTCCAACTCCATTGGCTCCGATGACATCCTTCTGCTGAGATTTGCGCAGGCGCGCCTTCTCCTTGGCACGCTTCACTTTGGCTTTCTCCTGGGATGAGATTACATCAATTCAAAATTATAAATATAGCTTATTTTCAGTCAATGCACGCAATAGATTTTTGGCAAAAATATAGCGTATATTAATCAAATAATTCGAATTTACATACTACTATAATTAATCTAAACATTTATGATCTGACTTTACTTTGAATAGAGAAATCATTTTATCATAGACTCTTATGTATTTTATGAAGGCATTTGCAATAAATTATTACAAATATAACAAAAATTATAAAATTAATTACAAATTAAGGTCTTCAATGAAAAGATGAAAGTTAACACATCGCTCGATGGAAAATTAGAGATGAGAACGTTTTCGAAGATGATTTTATTTCATAAAATTTCAATCGCTAATTATAAAATGGACTGAATGGATTAATTCAAATAACCAGTTGATAAACCATTTAAATTATGAGTTCATTCATAAATTTTCTTACTGAAAATTCAAATTTGATTACCTTAACTGCAGAAATTTTGAATTTCCTCAATTTGAATATATTTTTGCCGTACTTTGTATAAAATAAGACAGTGCATTAATTAATTTGTTAAGCCAAATGTTTATTTAGGAGTGCAATTAAATACTTTAAATCATAGAGAGTTGTTTTTGCCTACTAAAAATAAAGTAACTTTATTTCAGTTTATTTAACTTACGCGCTCCTGCAGCATTTTGGCGAGTTCTTTGTCCTGTGCCTCGATGGCCAGCAAGCGATCGCGTTGCTCCTGCCGCACGCTATCCTTGCTCTCAATGGCCTGCAGGCGACGTGCCAGCAACTGCAAAATATTATAGATATGAACAATGTGTTGAATTGGCTATTATGGATGTTGATCAGACGGCACCTCATCTTTCTGTTCCTGTTTGATCTTCTTGCTCATCTCGTGTATCTCCTCGGGTGGCACTCCAATGTCGCGCAGACTGGCATAGTCACAGGGATCCACATAGAGCTCAATATCATCCGCATGCTGTTGCATGTGACGCTCGGCCGCCTTCGAATTGCCCAGGGCAAAGTTGCCAACCATTTGATCGTATTTCTCCGGTGATAGTTTCTGAAATTTGGGTTCGGAACGCAGTAAGTTCTCATGTGATGCAGAACGTTGCGGCGGCATTGCTGCATCGATAACATTGGCTGTTGCTGATGCTGGTGCTGCTGCTGCGGCAGCTGCTGCTGTTGTTGCTGACATGTTGCGTATGCTGTCAGCAACATCAGCATAATCCACCAGCTCATCGATGTCAGCTGCATGATTAGTTGTGTGCTGTGATGTGGTGCTGATGTTTAGTGGTGCAATGCGACGTGCTGATTGATGTGGTTGCTGTTGTGCATGATGGAAACGTGACTGTAATTGTTGTTGATGTTGTTGTTGTTGCTGATGCTGCTGTGGCGATGATGATGGCGTATGCTCAGCATCACTCACCAACAGCTGATTGTGTGTGTTCTGTGCATTGTGTCTACTACTGGGTGTGCTAGTTGCTGCTGCTGCTGTTGCTGCTACTGCTGCTGTTGCTGGCTTATCAACAATATTTGGTATGAGCGATAGTCCTACATAGTTGTCTGTTTGTGAAAAGTGTTGTTGCTGTTGCTGCTGCTGCTGCTGCTGACTGTGATATCTAGCTTGCTGTGAGGTGCTGGGCTCAAGGCTGCCATTGGATTGTTGCTGCTGCTGCTGTTGCAGTTGCAGCTGTTGCTGTCGTATACTTGCTTTGGCTGGTCGTGGCGGCGGACGGCTCTTGTCCCGTGTTGTTGGCGGCGGCACGGGCGGCAGATTAACATAGATTTCCTGCAAGTGGCAGACAGACAGTTATTAATTATTATTCCAAGTGTGTGCTTAGCATGTTAATAGCATGGCAGAGTCCACATTTTGCGGACGTATTTAACTGAATTATTATTTTATGTCGTGTAATTGGTTCTTTGTTTATAATTAGTGTTACAAAAAAGTCCTGCATCCATTAAACGCTTCACTTAAGATAAGGACCTAATACTACTTAATGTAATTTAGGTGTTTTAATCTGAGTCAACCCGACTAGGAGAATACACAACAGTTAGTGTTTTAAATATGAATAAAGGTCTTTATAAAATCTGTGTATCTAATCTGATCTTAATAACTTTTGATCAATAATATGTCTGTCAATTATTTTATTTTATTGCCCTTGAAAAAATCGATTTGTTGCAGATTCCCAAAACAGCGGCAATTATGGAAGACATGAAATAACAAATAAAATGCATCTTTTTGTGGAAACAATATACTCTTTGGTATATTACTATTTAAAGAGAGTGGAGCTGGGCTTCCTGGCTTTTATGGTCTGTGAGGTCGACTTGTTCAAACAGACGGACATGGCTAACTTGCCTCGGCCTTTGGGGTCGGAGATGCTTTCTTCCAACTTTATTACAGTTCAGGTTATAAAAATATTTATTTAGTGGGTGCAGCTTAGCCTGTTACGACATGGCCAAATGTGCACATATGAATCTAATATTTAACTTAATTTCTTAGCCTGCAAACATTCTTGTGTATGCAGTTGGCCCACCTGCATTTTCTGTGCTATAAGTTCGCTTTGCTGCAGCTCCTCCTGCTGCTGTTCCTGCAGATCACGCTCCAGTTTGTCGGCAATTTCTTTGGCAACGCGTTTATCGTGCTCCTCCCTGCCAGATGAAAATGAAAATTAATAGTGGAAAACCAAATAAAATGCCTGGCATTAAAACTTTTACTGTTCGGTTAGGCGTCTCCGGTAGGCCTCCACTTGACGTTGGGCCTGCTCCGTTTCCTTGATTTGCTCATGCAGAGCCGTGGGGAAATCTTCGCGCACCACCGCATTCCTGTACCGATTGCCCTTGTAAAAGTCGTTAACTGCAGCCACAGTAATCAACAAAAAAAAAGAGAAAATATTTAGTAGAAAAATGCAGTCGAATATTATGCTAGGCTTGTGATGGAACTTACTCTCCTGGGACTGCAGCTTGTAGGCCAGGGCGCCGTCCTCACGCACGAGCCATTCCTTGCAAACTGAAAAAGGTTTAGGCGAGAAGAGAACACAGCAGATGTTTTAGTTATTTAGTTGGCTTTAATCACCTTTTGATGGCTTGGTCATAAAGTGGCCGCTCGCGAACTTGATTACAAGTCATCAAGATATTAAACGGACAAGCTGATATTTAATGCATGCTCTGAAAGTCACTAAGCCTATCAAATTACCCTTGGGCCGCATCTAATGAAGCTCCACATATTATAATCGTACGATTCCACTTTAAAATACGAGAGAGAGAGAGAAACAAAAAAATAACAGAATTCAAAACCCGATGAGTCACGTACGGAGTCTTCAGATTGGAGGGGGTCACAGCTTAAACAAAGGCATTCCATTGAAGATGCACATGCTCGATGCCCGTTCCACGGAAATGCAGCTAAATACAACTCCAAACATGAAATACCGAAGGGGCAACCGCTGCGGATGTCAGCTTTTGATCGATTTGCCGGAGCACTAAGATCTTTGTTGTTGTTTGCTGATAAGCGAAAGCGTGGTACAAAAAAATTCACTTTTAATTGTGTGTGTCTAGAATTTCGTTGATTGTCAGCTTACAAGGAAAAGGGGCTTCTGGTTGTTGTAATTTTGTCGTTGGTGTGGTTCATTTGTGGCTGTTGTTGCTGCTGCCGCTGCTGCTGCTGCTGTCTGTGTTTATGCCTCGCTGTCATTTATCATTAGTCGCGGAGCACTTGGTAATTGGTTGCTTCAGGGCAAACTCTATAAACTACAATTTTGAACTGCTTGTGGCGGTTTTGTAAAATGGAAAGTGCCAGACGAAAGTGGCAGCAAACTAAATACTGAAGTGTTTGACTGAATCATCTCTTCTGCTTCTAGTTGTGGCAAATGAAGCAGAGTAATGAAAGTAAAGCGTATGATTTATTACCTCTTCGGGGGAGTACAATATATTTTTAATCGAGTTTGGCTTAGTTCTCGGATCAAGATTATTTGGCTGAGTAACTAATTTCAATCAGAAATAGAACAGAAAGATCGAATGATGAGTTTTAAGCAATCAAGAAGAATAGACGAAGTCACCTAACAAAACTTTTGTGACTGAATCGGAATCCTCAAAACACATTAAAACAGCATGTGTTGACTCGTAAAAATAAGTAACTAAATATTTTATCAATTCCAAAACCAGCAACTTGACAAAGATTCTGACATTCCTTCAAGAATTTGTAGTGATGGAAGAGTTACAGGCTCAGAGGGGGGCAGCAACAATAGCTCAAGTAGGTAGCAGCGCATGAAAAAACCGCGTCAGTAATAAATAGCTGAGTTTATAAACTCGTTTGTCATACCTACAACTATTGCACTAAAGAGCCATCATTTCAATCTCTACGATTGCTGTTCCATTCTGTCATTAAGTATGATTATAATTGACAGCCAAAACATTCTCTCATTATTTTCTCAAATTACTACACCACAATTTTGACATTTCTGTTGGTGTCTTCTTATCTGTGAACGTATTTTATAGTAATTTTCCAACCACACACACTCATACACACACACACACACTCGCACACACGCACAGTCTCACTCGAATGCAATCGCGTTAATTTAAAGGTTCTTAAGGTTCTTTGACTTTCAACTGTCAGTCGGCAATTAGTTGAACTTTGACTCTGACTTGGGGGACTCTCTTCCCGGTCATCATGCAATTAGAAAAAACTTGCCCCTAGTTGAATTATGGTTTGTTGTTGCTATTCCTGTTGCTGTTACTGTTGCAGTTGCAGTTGCTTAATTAACTGCAATTTGCGGAAGTGCAAGAGCGCTGAGAAGTGCCACAAAGTTGTGCCACAATGGCCGCAATGAGATCCCCTTCCACACACACACACAAAAAGAAAAACTTGCAGCCATAATCAATTTAGCTGCTTGCTTTTGCATTTGATTTCTCACTGCACAAAAATAAATAAGAACTTGCATAAGTTCACTAAGTCTGTGTGTTTGTATGCCTGTATATTTGTATCTGTATCTGTATCTGTATCTGTATCTGTGTCTGTGCTTGTGCATAAGTCTTCAACAAAACTGTATCTGCTGCTGTGCATAAGAAGTATCTTTTTTCTCTGGTGCCCCATTCGATGTCGGTTCGGCGTGATTGCTCAGCTCAGGTTGGCACCGCTCGTCTTACACATTTTTGCCGACTCCGGCATACGTGGTACTCCCGCTGCCCCTGCCGCTCCCCTTCCCTCCCCTACTGTCACCAGCATTGGCATGTGTTTATTGTGCTTTCAGCGTACATATTACTTACAAAGACTTTTGTGCTGTTCTTTCATTTGCGCTTTGCGCTTTGCTTTTGCCTCATAATGTACAGCTAAAGTGCAGCTTTGCCTACTCTACAAATATAATTATGCCGGAGAGTATATTGTTTTTGTGGCCGAAATAAAAACTGAGAATGGGTAAAAAGGGTCAAGCATCTTATATATATCTTTCTAATCAAGATTATTGTTTTCTTTCAAATAATACTAAGTCATGGATGGACAACATTGGGATTCAATATCTCATTTAACTTGGATTACAATTTTGCAAGCAAGTCAATTTGAGAAGAGTATTTCAATTATGATTGTCGACAATCATTAAAATGATATTCTTAAAATATGCTTATGAAAACATCTTATAGAATTTGTTTTGAAGTCTAAATAGGGTATTGCATAGTTGGGCATGCTCGCAGTTAGAACACTTGCTCGTTATTATGCACAACGGGCAGCGTATGAAATGGTAAAAAAAAAAATAAATAAATTTGTAAGCTAAACTTTGCCTTTGACTGGTCAGCAAATGTTGAAATCAACTTACTGTATTTTTCACGCTGGCCGTTAAATAAATTTTCTGTTTTCAGTGTTTTATTTTCCATTTTACCATTACGAGTTACAGGAAATGGGTAAGGCAGTTAAAAATTATTGCAAATATGTCTGGTAGAATTGTTTTTGTGACTGGAAATGAGTTTCAAATTCACAGCTGTTGACCATAAGCGACCCAAAGTGCATTCGACGCCACAAATTTCAAATTCTTTTAATTTCCTGCTGTGTCACAAATACAACAAAAAAAAAATACTCATTGATAAGCAAGGTAGAATAAAAAAAACAAATTATAATTGACAGCTGATTTATTGTTCTTCTCTGGGCGGACATGGGAAATGTATTGTGAAATACATATTTGCCTTGTCCCGGAACGGGTTTCTTTTTGTTAACCTCAACGACAGCAGAAAAAGTGACACCCATTCTACAAACTGCAATGTGGGTCGACGTCGCCGTCGCCGTCGCTGTTTATTGACTTGGCCAAAAAGAGTTCTGCGAACGGGTTAGTAAGGCACCGTAATACGAATACCTGAATACCGACTCATGCGTCATGTGGCGTTCACAAGAATTTCGAGCGCAAAAACAAAACACACATCTTGATTTTTGGCACAATCAGCTGATCGTTGGAGTAGCTGGCTTAGATCGCGGAGAGTTAACTGTTTATCTTTTATGGCTAACAAATTCTAAGTAACGATTTATCAAAACTACTTTAACATTTATTAATTGGCTTTAGAGTAAGGGAAATTCTGTAAAAGGAAAAAGTTTCTTGGCATGAAAATAGATCAACCTAAAATTTAAGTTATCAGCTTAAATATTTGCCTAATTTGATTTTTAGCGCAGGAAAATTGAAGACACTCAACCTGTATAGTTTCAATGGCATTTCTTCCTATGCAGACATCAATTAACCTTCGTTGTGCATTCAATTTGAAATTCATTTTCAGTTCACAGCATTTGAAAAACCGCCAACACTTTGTATGCGGTTCGCTTTTTGCCACTTTATGTTGTGTGGCTTCCATCAATGATTTTTCCCACCTAACCTTCTCTCACTCTCGCTCTCTCTCTCTCTCTCTCTCTCTTTCTCTGGTGGTCGTTGTTGTTTCTCTCTGTGTAGGCACCCACAAGCGAGCAAGTTCAAAATTGCGGTCTATGCATGAATGGTTCGCTTTGTGTGTGTGGATCGCGTGAAGAGTTACACAACGAAATCGGATATGTAAAATATTAAAAACTTGATGCATATGCAAGACATATGTGTATGGAAAAACTATGGAAAAAACTGAACGGATAACCAAATTGGAAAGTCGTTTCACGAGGCTGGAAAATGCATGGGAGAAGCAGCAGCAGCAGCAGCAAATGCAGGAAAAATGTTTTGTCGACGCTGCAATGTTGCATTGATTAGCGGGCCTGAAAGTGGAAAAACCTGACTCAAGGTTGTTGAACATGCCACTCTGTGGCCAAGAGGCAGACAGACGCACAACTTAAATACATACACACATATAAAGGGGCTGGTTGCCACAAACCGAAACCCAAACAAAAATGTGGCTGGCGACGCCGACGCGATGCGACGCAACGTTGCAACGTTGACTATTTGAATGTTGCAGCTGATGGATACACAAACACACACAGAAATGAGCAGAAGATGCAACACACAGCACAACAAACGTATACACTGAGAAAACAACGAGCAGTTTTATTATCTAAAACACTTGGCGAAGATTATCGAAGATTTCAAGAAGAAACTGCTCAAAGCGCTGCAAAATTTCTAACAGACAAAAACCAAAATATATTTACCAAAGTCAATTTCAGATAACATTTGTTGTATTCTCTCAGTGCACATGTGTTCGGGTGTGTGTGTGTGTGTGTGTGTGGGCATTGTGTTACCAAGCATTGACCTTAGCCATGGCCAAAGATGTTGATAACCAGCAGCAGCAGCTTCTTTGTGGGAAGAATTTAGCTCATTATGCGGCAAGCAATTTGAATGAATGTTGCCGGTTAAACGGGTTGCAGTGTAGTCTCATTGATTGATTGATTGATTGGTTGATTGAACTGCTGATTGGCCAGCTTCAAGAGCAAGTCTCTCTTGCTCTCTCTCTCTCTCTCTCTGATTTAGTAGGCAAAGAAAACTAAAGCAGAATGCCCAATAATTATGTATCAAAGTGTCTGGTTTAAAAATTAGCGTAATTTCATATTTACGGCATCATCTCAAGCGTTCAACAAAGAGCCCATTACGAGCCGACTTTAACTTTCTCCGAAATTACGGCAAATATGATTTTGTATCTGCCAACATAGTTGTGTATCTGTTTCTGTGTGTGTGTTGTACCTGCCTAAGAGCTGAGATACTTAAAAAGTGCGACTAGTTTTGCTTAGTTTGTGGTTCTCATTTGTTCAGCCGAGCAAATGTTTATCAAATCAAAAGCATATCAAAAACTTGTACTACATATAGTAATTGCACTTAATTAGTTAAATAAAGTACTGTAATTTCATAAGTGAAATTTTGTAGTAACATAAATTTGCTGACGTTGGTTAGTTGCCTTATAAAGAAAATCTAAATTTGTTTATGCTATGCTAATTGTTTGAATATTGCCTTCAGCTGAAGAATCACAGTTCGCAGCTTGCAAAAAAATTCCATATATTATAAAATATGAATGTGAACTAATGAATATAACGATATAGGCAATAAAACCAGTTAATAAACCATTTAGCGAACTTGAAAATGATACATAAATACACAGAAATATTGAGTGGCTCGAATTCAAGCGTGAATTTTCTTAATACGGGCAATTTATGAACATGTGAGTCAGAAAACTAAACAAACAAATTATAGCACGTTTAACAACAACCAAAAAAGCTATGGATGAACAACTTATATAACAAATAAAAAATATTTACATAAATTCAAGCAGGCTCGTTAGCTCATATCAAGAGACAAGATATTTATTTATAATTGGGCTCAATAACGAAAAGCGTCCAAAGCCAGACGAAAAGCTTCATCAATCCAAAAACCGAAGAAAAAAAACCGCAATCAATTAAAAAAGTTACGACATCTGTGACAAAAGCAGAAGCAAACCGAAGAGGTTTTTAGTCAGCAATTATTGTTATGCTAATCAAAATGAGTGTTCCAAACAAAGACAGAAACTGAGCTAAGCCAACGAACTTTCTTTCTCGACTTGGCGCAATTTGAGTTGAAAGTTTTTCATGAAACGATATACGAAAACAATGAGCTGCCAGCATTCAGCATTCAGCCGGCAGCCGGCAACAACAAACATCAAACTGGCAAAACATAAAGCAACGAAATTTTCTGATGAAAATAAACAAACGATGCCTTTTGTGTTTCTTATCCATAATTCGGTTGAAAGGGAAAATCAACACGCACAAAACGGTGCAGCAAATCACAAAATAAACTGAGCACTTTCCATTTAATGACGAGGCATGCAAAAATGTATCTTGTATCTTTAAGATACGCGCGTGCAGCAGTCAAACAGCTGACAGTTAGTCGCTGCCAACAGCAGCAACAACAACAACAACAATTGCGACAACTACAACAACTGCAGGCAACCGCTTCATTTGCGCCCAAGCACGCATAACACAAAAGACAAAAAGACCCCCACTTTAGTGGCAGCAACAGCAGCCCCATGTTGCAAGCGTTCGCGTTTCCTCTCAGAAAAATGTGTGCACTACACTCAGAGAAAGAACAAAACGGATTTGTACTAAATTTCTTGACTGGTGTTGATGGAGTTTGGTTTTAAAATATTTCGGCATAGTTTACATTGGTAAAAAGAAAGAAATAAATATCTCAATCAAATTCTAATCCTTAACAATTTCTAGACATATTTTAAGAATGCCAATTTCCTAAATTAAGATACATTTAATTTAATAAAACAAGAATTCAGAATGGTTTTTATAGAGCATTTTTCTGAGTGTGCCTCAACTCAACTGCTGGCCTCTTTTTCTTGCAGCTGACAAACAGACTGGGTGAAGGTAAGGGTGAGGGGAGGTAGCAGGCTGAAGGAGCAGAATGAAACAGTCGACAGTTGCATGACGAGATGCCAGAGCTGCCTCACTGACTGCAGTTTTTGTGGCATTTTGATGTTGTTGTTGTCGTTGTTGTTGTTGTTGTATGCATGCCACGAATGATTCACTTGCCAGCGACAGGATGTGCAAGTGCCAGAAAGAGGTCTCCACTTGGCTTCAGCTTTTGAGTTGCCCACCTAAAAGCCACCAGGCCCAGAGCAACTGCCTACATAATTGTTTTGGCATACAAAAGATTTGAAAAGGCTCTTTTAAAACGAACTTAAAAACTGACTTAAACTGTGCATGGGCATTTTGTATCACAGCTTGCGGTATTAATATTTTCTAGCAAAAATACCAAAAGTTGTCCTCACATGTGTCAAAGCATTTGGCAAAGTATTTCAGTTTTGAAATAATTCAAACACTTTAAATTATTCAAGATGGTCAGAGATCAGTACTTGGGTATGCTTAATGCATGTGTAAATAAGCTTAAAATATACTCAAAATGCGATGCAAATTTTTATACAAATTATTTTTTACCCGTAAATGATAAACTTCTTGGAAGGGAATTAACTCTTTATCAATATATGTTTATTTACTGCTGTTCGAACTTCTTGTTTAATATTATGTCGATGTTTAAGGGAAAACAGCAATACTTCCTCATCGCCTTTAAAGAATCTTCGATGTGTGAACTTAACTCAAGTAGGTGTGTTAAAATTGTTTATTTGCGGCTCTGGTATCAAACCTGTTATTATAAGTAGTACTTAAAGCGACAATTAGAACTGAGGCTCAATGAGCGACTTCCTGCACAGAACTTAAGCGATAAAAAACAACAAAAACAAGGCAACCTTTGAAGCGCACCCCAACATAAATGACACAAATTTTCATGTCTCGGAACAGATCAGAACCCAATTCATTTAAAATTATAAATATATATGCTGTATTTACTGTGCTCACTCAGCCAAAGAAACCCAACAAGCAGAAAGAATGTGTTGGTAAAGTTCTTGTTGCTTTTGTTGTTGTTATTGTTGTTGTTGTACTTACCCTCATTAACATGTCCTGATCGCGGCAGTGATTCCTTTTTGGGCACAGCGGCCGTTGTGGTTGTAAAATTATTCATTATTATTTTTTCTTTTTTTTTGAGAGGAACGCAAAATTCTCTTCCCAATGTTTGTTGTTGTTGTTGTTGCCGCTGTTGCGCTTGAACAGGTGTTTAAAAATATGAGCTCAAGGACGAGTTGCTTTGGTTGTTGGTATTGTTGTTGTTGGTTTTGTGCTGCGTTTTAATTTCAGTTTCTGGTTTGAGTTTCAGTTCAGTTTGATGCTGCCGCGCCTTCCAGTTCGTTGCTTGGCGTCGGTGAGTTGAACTTGTTGAAAGCGAGCGCTTCGCTTTCAAATAGATAAACAACAATGTTGGCAGAAGAAAACCTGAAACCAGGTTTCTGTTTTTTTTTCTTCTTCTTTTATTTTAGAAATTTTTCACTTAATTGCGTCGCTCACTTAATCATGTGTGTGTGTGGAGGGGGCTTGGAGGGGCATCCACTTGTGTTTAGTTATGTTACTTGCAACGCATTTCACTTTCACGCCAACCGATTTATTTATAAAATTCACACCAACAACAAATATGTACACACACACACACACACGCACACAATAAGAGGCGCGCGTCGCGGACAGCTGCAATTTTACGTTGTGTTATGCTCCGCGCAAAGAACTAGCTTCGTCGTAGCAGCAGACTGCTTTAATTGGCAGAACAAAATACACGTCCGTCGTTGGATCTTTTGACGCGCTCACAGCTCATGCAACAGCGAAAGCCGCTCAACGAATGCGGGCATGAAGATGAATGGCTTGATAATGGGCTACATATCGATATATCGATAGTTTCATTTGAATGTTGCAAATACGTTTGTATATAATAAAGTGTACTTTTTACTTATATTTGTATTTAAATTTTTTAAAGCAAATGCATTGAAAATGCCGCACATATCAATTTAAATATGAGTTTTAAAATGGATTCATTAAAATCTGTGAACAAAGCCACATTAAATTTGTTGTTATAATTTTGTTGCACTAATTTAGTAAGCAAGTTAAACAAACCATCGATATATCGATAAGTTCAGCGATAGTCAACCGCCAATAAAATTTGAGCATGAGAGATAGCTGTGAGCAAAAAGTGCTGCCAAGCACTTAAATATAATTTGAATTTGGAGAATTAGTCGAATAGTTGATTTATATAATTTTCATTTATAAACAAATATCTGATGTTATTTTTGTGTAATAATAATTACAATAATAATTGTTATTTACTCTTTAAGCATTTGAATTGTTCCTATTATACCATATTCTTTATATGTCAAGTCACACATGCGTCGGCCGTAGTCAAGTTCCACACCATATTTCAAACTGTGCACAGTTTTACATTCAAAACTGGTTTGCTCACTTCCAAGCAACAACAACAACTGAAATACAAATAAATATGGCAAAAATAATTATGCCATCATATTGTTATTGCTTACACATGACGTCAATTGCTTGTACACCTATGTTTATAAGTACTACAAAAAGAAAAAGATGCGTTTTACAATGTGTCAATGCTAGTTTCAAGTAGCTGTCAAGTTGTAGCTTCCTTATATGTGGAAAAGGTTGTTATGAACCGATGTGAACTGTTGAATTTTGTGTCATTCATATATAAATAACGTAAAATTCCAACGAAATTTCATTCATAAAAAGATACTTAAGCGCAGGTGATTGGGGAGATCAAGATGAGTCAACGAATCTTTCCTTATCACACATTTTGGCTCGGCAAATAATTAGTTATTCATTTCCTCTACGTTTTTCTATTGCAACTCTTTTCACCTATCATTTTCTATCTCCCTCTCTCTCTCGTTCTCTTGCTTTCTCTTTCTTCCAAACATTTTTATTGGCACAACATCATTGGGAATTCCATTTGATTGTAAATACTCGTAGCAAAGCCGGGTTCAAAGTAAGCACTCAAAATATTCACTCCACTCAAATTCAAACAAACTACAAACGAACGAATCTCAGTTGCATACACCCACATATACACATACACATACATATACATGGGTACACACAAAAGCAATAAACCTATACTTGTGCATAGCTGGAAATCAGTTACCTGCCAGTCACAGCAGCAACAGATACAAGATACTTTCGTGAGAGGCATCGGTAAACAAAAATAAACAAAAGTCAAGTCAACTGGTTGAGCACATTTTGCCATTTTCTATGGGTATGTGTGAGTTTCTTTCGAGCTACTATTTCTATATACAGTGGTCGCTTTCATTTAAAATGATCAAGAAAAAAATTGTATGCATTTCTTAAAGTTGCATATAATTTTCTGAAGGAATGGTTTTTTTGGTTAAATTCATTTTTGTTTGTCAAAAATCATGGCAAATATTATTGTATCCGCAAGGAATGAAGAATATGGCGATAAATATAATTTAGTTTAAATTTATGAAGGCTGAAGGCTCCATTTATTATAATAACAAAAATGTAAAATTCGAATTTATTGGACAAAAAACTGATTTGATTATATTTGCTTTTATGGCACATTTGCCAGTGATTCTAAAAACAGTTCCCTAGAGCCATGCTAAAATTTGCATCTGCTAACAAATTTATGTCTACGCACTTATAACAAATGAATTGCATGTTGTATAAATTTCTATTTGTCCCATAGTACCTGAAAAAACTCACACATACGCACAGCATAGACACACACATACATATATCGAGCGGTTGTTGGTAATACTCAAACGAGCGATCGACGTTGTTGCCAGTTGCCAGTTCCAGTTGAGAGTTGAGTGTGGCTCAGAGCGAGTCGCTTGCGGGCTGACAAAGAAACATCTCGATAAGAAGGGCTGCATTTTTGTTTTTGTTAAGAATAAATAAGTAAAAAGTGTAAAATTAGGTGTAGAAACTAACAGAAAAGAAGCGTATAATTTGTGTTTGATTGAAAAATGATCAAAAGTGTTGGAATTTAGCCAAGTGAAACAAGTTTATAAAGCGGCTCACACAGACATACTAATACACACACACACACACAGCGCTGCTACCACATACACTCAACGGAGCTGAACCTGGACTCAACGCTCGACTCACTCCCAAAACGAAGTTAACAACTGAATAACAAGAAAGAAGCTTGGCCAAGTTATGAATCATAGCCAAGTGGCTGCAAAGAATTCGTTGCAGCAGCGCTTCTTAAACGTCACGTAACAAGTGCATAGTAATTGAAACTATCTAACTAATCAAGTATATATATATAAAAACTGACAAAATGTCTGGCAAGGAATTGCGCTCACTTTCGCTCAGCATTGGCTCAGCATTGTTGCCAACTTTCTCGCTCGTCTCGGCCAATCCACAAAGTGGCGCCAACAATGCTGGTCGTGATACCTGCTTTGGCAAACTCTGCCATCCCGTGGATGAGTACTGTTCCATGTTTGCCGAGAGCTGTATGCCCTGTTCGAGCATTTGTGATGCCAACACGCATAACTATCACCTGGACACCTGTACCAAGGAGTGTTCAGGTGAGCATCTTAATACAACAATTAACAATTCTTCTTTAATTACATCACAGTATTTTACTGGCCAACAATTAAAATTACGTGTTGGTTTGGTTTTTCCATAGTTTGTTTGCAAGTCGACTGGGGTTCGAAGCCAAGTTAATTGTACTGTTTTAACAATTGGTTAGCTCATTTGTTTATTGAGTGTGCAAACATACAAACAGAATCTAAAGTAGCTGCCATTGAAATTAGCAGGTTTACAAGCCTTTGTTTAATTTGATAAATGTTTTCAACAAATACGAAGCTTTTAATTATGCTTGCTGAGAATTAAAACAAAATTTATAGAAAGATTCAAATAGTTCATTTTAAAATCATAGTTTGATTATAGTTTCAAAACGGATCAAGTGCAGAGATATATCAATGAGTATTTAAATATATTTTCTCAGTGTACGGTAGCGAAAAAGAAGCTTCGAATTAAACTACGTAGATTGTAAACTACGAATTCCAGTAATAATGAATTTCATTTTGAATACCTTAAAATACCTGAAATATATAAATATTCTTTTGTTTTTTGGTTGTTTGTTTTTTCTTAATAGTATGATTTGAAGATTAATTAAAATCAAACAGAAATAATTTGAGGATTGCCAAATGGTTATATTCAAGATTCAAGATTATATTTTCTTCCATTTTCGAAACAATATCAATTCTGTAAGAAATTGATTATCATTACCCAAGAAATTAATCGATTTTAATTTGATATCAATCTGAATTTATAGCCTACAACAGTTATGAGCCTTTGAAGGCCGAGATTCACGACATACAGAGCAAACAGAATTTGATACTGTTGCTGGTGAGCATCATTATCATATTGATTGCCATACGCTATTTGGCAAAGTTTCTAAATTGGTTGCAACACAAGCGTTGCATGCGTCAGTTGCTGTCCCGTCTGGTGTCGAAGCCGCATCAGAGCAATGCAAATGGCAAGGATCTCAATGCCACAACCATACAGAATCTGAATGCCATTAACCGTGACATTGAGCGGGCGCCTTCCCAGATCTACAGTGTGGCAGGTAAGCAATGTGGCAACAATGTATGACCGAACTACCTGACTCATATAAAACCTATTCACATTTTTTACAACTAGGCGCAGCTGAGGGCTCCGTGGTGACGTTAGCGACGCCGGTGAGCACCCGTTATCCGGCGGAGAATAGCACAACACCAACAACGGTTGTCACGGAAATCGGCTATGGATATGGCTACGATAATCAGGCGATGGTTGTAACCCCAGTTGCTGAAAAGGCGTCCCCAACGGCTGCCTTCTGAGCTTTCTTTTTTGTCATTCTCAAAAACAGTGTGCATCACATTGAAACTAGTGATATTTTATAATACTTTAGATACGTAAGCAAATTATTCGATAAACCGCTGATAATAATTGCATATGCAATCTATATAATGTCATTGAGCAGACTAAATTGTCTGTATTATAATATGTAATTACTTCAATAACATAATGGCCTTAAATATACAATAAATATCGATTATAATATGTATAATAATATGACGTTTTAGATAAAGTCCAAAAGTTTTAAATAAGATTTGTGTTTTTGATTGAGTAAGCATTTTATACTGGGAACCAAGCCAAATCGAACTTTGGCTCCGGTTCAGGTTCAATTTGGCGGTACCAATTTTGATTTTCAATTGGCTTATTGCTGTTAACGGTTCCGTTTTAGGTTTGATTGAGTGATTCTATAGCCATAGTTAAAAAGAAAACATCACAAATTTGAAATTTGCTTAAAAGTATTGTCATTTATTATAAAAAAATTCGCAATTCAAATTAAGACTTAGGACTAATATTGAAATTGATCGAAACTTTTATAGCTAACGAGTATAACTCCTATATGCAAACATATAGCATGCATAGCGAAATTTGTATAAGCAACTTAATTTGATGGCTTTCCGATATGTTAAATGTAATATATTGTTATCAAATGCTTCATTAAAAACTAACAAAGTCCATTTGCTTACAGCTAAAATCGTGCGAATCTCATCGTAAGTCAGCCTTAAGCACGTACGGTATAAATCTATGCCTAAATAAATAGATAGTTATGGACTAAATGATGTGCCGATTCCAGTTGATATCATCTTCAGACCCAATACTGATTGCGGCGCAGCAGCGGATTTGTGGGCGGCGCCGACGGAGGCGAACTAATCGAACCGGATATGGAGATGCCGCTCTGCGGAACGGATGCGTAGCCAGCGAAATCGTTGGCCATGTCGCACGACGAGCTCCAGGCATCGTGATCGACATGATAGGGATTGTAGCGTTGCGGCAGCATCATCTGCTGCGGATCACACTGATCATCCGTCTCATCCTCATCCGGATCGTAGTCCGGATACTCGTGCTTGTATGATTCCACGGGTATTATCTTACAGTGCGGTATATTACTGAAGCCCGGCAATGGCGTTGAGTTGCCTGTGGCTGGCACCGAGTCCGCCTCGGAGCTGGCATAGTGATGTTGCTGATGATGATGATGGTGATGATGATGCTGTGGACTGACCGATGTCAAATCCGGTGGACAAGGCAACGGTGGCGGCTGATCCTTCGATATATCCGCCTTACGCTTGCGCATGTTTCGCATTTTCAATAGCAACAACACGGTCAGCAAAAAGATAAGCAGAATTAATAAGGCAAGCCCAACAGCCAGATAATTTATGGATATATCCGATTTGCCTAGATGCACTGTCTCCGTATCTTCCAGCTGGGCACGATACTCGATTTGAACGGTTGCCTGAGCCGGTTGCACTGTCTTAATCAGCAGCTGGTAGTCAAAGCTATCGCTATCCGATTCGGTGTCATCTACTGAGGCATGGGGCACAAAATAGACGACACCACTGCGCAGCTCCTTGTACGAGAAGATGGTCGTGGAGCGATCGTTTTGGGCATCGGATGGATTGGAGACGGGGCTGCCAGCACTGCTGCTCCGTATAATCTTTCTCAGTTGACCCGTCGCCGGCATCCGTGTGATGACAAACTTGGGATTGAATTTGTTTAGCTTCAGCGAGAGTGGATTATCATTGACCAGGGAGCTGCTCAATCTAATCTTTCCCCCCGCCGAACTCGTACTGGACTCCGCATCCCGCATCGATATATCATTGATTTGTATTACCGGCTCCACATTGACCACAACGTCCACTTGGGCGGCATAGTTGGTGCCAGGCACGTAGGAACTAACCTGGAACGTATCATTGGAACGATTCAGATCCGTTTGCATATAGCTAATCTGCGACAGTTCCAGCTGCTGCTGATTGAATCTCAAAGTCGGCTGATGCTTGTAGAGGATAATGCCATATAGTGGAGAATTGGTTATGTTGTATGCCAAGCGATCCATCTTTACATTGGTGCTCAGGCCAATCTGCTCCAGCTTCATGGGTGCGCTTGTCGCTCCCTGTTGCAGACTGACCGGGATTTGTGTGGAAGCTGGCAACAAACTTATGGGCGCCACTTTAATCGTAAATATCTCATAGGCAGGATTAAATTGTCCATCGGTTACAGTGAAGCAAAATGTCGTGGACTGCGGCATGCCAAAATGCACATAGATAATGCGATCGTTATTAATGTCCGCCTGTGTGAACTGATTGGAGAAGGCCAACAGATCGACGGCCTGGCCATCATTGTTCAATTTCTTGAGCACGCCCAGCGTCGGACCGCTCATCACATCATAGATAATCTCCTCGGGCGGTGTATCCTTATCCTCGGTTAGCAGGGAATTCCTTGTTATAGTGCGATTCTCCCCCTCAACGACCATCATTTGAGGCAGGTGGGTGATCAGCTGAAACGGCTGATCATTGATGGGATTGATTGAAACGGGTATCGTCAAATTGCACAGAAAAATGTTGCTGCAATGGGAATAAGAAAACATGAAATAAATTATACAAAATATTTTAAAGAAAGAATTGTTAGCAATGCGATTTTTTCTGCAGAATATTCCCTTAGAACACATCAATCTACGCCTTGAACATACCCCTGCGTTAAGTATACGCCCATTAGTATGGTATCCTCCAGGGTATCTGTATGATCGTGTATATAATAAACCTTCTTGGTGAAAAAGTCGCTGGGATGATATCTTTGCATGGACTTGAACTCATGACCGAGTCCAATGCTGCCATGCGTTGGCTTCTGTGCTGCTTCTATGAAAAGTTCCGGATTGTTGATGCCCGCCCGCGTCTTCAAATACTCCAAAATCTTAGAGAAATCCAGTTTAATGGGCACCGAACCACCTTCATCGACAGTTAATTTGGAAACGGGCAAAAATCGGAGTAAGCCACCAGAGGATACCGATATTTCGATATTGAATTTCTGATCTAGCAAGCGATCACTTCGCTCAGCAATGACATCAAAGTAGAAGGAATCATTGATGCGAAACTCCATAATGACAGCCGTGTGCTCATAGAATATGTGTCCATTGTCCACATCGGTCTGCGTAAATTCACTAATCTCCTTGGCATACCCATTTCCCAGATACTCATTGACAATACGACCCAGACTGGGAGGCACTGTCACATTATAGCGTATCTCGCGCTCCTCATCCGAGCACTTGAAGTGCAAGTGATCTCGCAATATTTGCTTCTTGGTTAGGGGAAAAACATGCAGATTCTCATTTCGTTCGACGAGTATCTCAATCGGTTTTATCTCGATATTGAGTAGTTGGCTGCTGGTATTGAAGAGTCCATCGGTGACCACAAAGGATAACTCATTCTTGCGCGAGTTCGCATCGTGTATAAAGTATATTTTCTCTGCATTTATTTGCGCCTGTGTAAACTGTTCGATCTTGTGCAGCGTGGTCGATTTCTCGGCCAAATATCCACCATAAATGTGATGCACTATATACGTCAGATTCTCCGGTGGCGTATCGTAGTCCTGTGTCACTACAAGAAGAGGTTAAGTCCGAATAAATAGTAGAAATAAAGAAAACCTCAAGTTAGCAAAGACCTGAGATGAGTCAACTTACATAGATCTGTATTTTTGATGACATATCGTCCGCCATTCCACACCTGCAGACCTGTGTTTGTGACCATCCTGGGCACCTCATCGTTGACCTGCACGACTGCCAATTCCAGTTCGAAGGGGACGCTCTCCTTGTTCCTGGCCATGGCAACCATTGTCAGGGAATCCGTTGCGTTCTCGCTGCCATTGTGCACATACTGAATGCTGCCCTGTTCCAGTTGCTTTTGTGTGAACCGTTTGACCTTTGAACTGCCCGCCAAAATGTGACCCGAACTGGGCGTTATGGTGACTATATACTCCAAGATCTTGCCACGATAATACTCCGAATAGGGTTGTATATCTGTAGAGCTTAACTGAACCGTCTTCCCCTCCACCACCGAGATGATGTTAGTGTGCATGTAAAGCTTCTCGGGAATGATGACTATCTTGAGCATCAGCTGACGCAGCCACGTAATCCCATTGGTCACATCGAAGACAAAGTAATCGGATGATTGATTAACGCCCGCCTGTATATAGAACATCTTTTCCGTATTCACCGACGACTGATCGAACACTTTGCAGTTATATTCATCATCAAAGGACATCGATTGCATCTCCAAATAGCCATGCATGGGTGAAGAGGTTACCAGGAACGTAATATCGCCAGGGGAGATGTTTGGATGCACGACCTTGGCAGGAAGATCAAAGCAGATTAATATTTAAGTCAATATTTAGCTCTGATTTGAAAAAACTTGTTGACGATATCTAGGCAAATCAATCAATGAGTAAACTAACCAAAACCTACCTCTAAAATATCTCGTGAGATTAGAACACTCGTTGATTCCTCAACGTAGAGCGTGTGATTCTGTTTCACATGGAGTGGCTCCCAATACGCTGAGGGATATATCCTAAAGATGACTTCACCCTCAGCCGTTATGTTCTTAATGTGCACACGATATCTAAGAAAGCTCAAAGATTGTTAAGATTACAAAACACATTTATCTTCTACAGTACAACCTCACCTCACTTTATCCATCGATGCGATTTCTGTATTCCAATAGACCAAACGTTCGCGTTCAATATCCAAATGCGTAAAATTGCCCAAGGATGTGAAATTGGTTACCTTTTGCATTATAGTATTATTCTCTCTATCCGATCCACCGCGCTGTCCACTGAGGTACATGAGAATGCCATAGGAGGGTGGCTTGATTACCTCATAGTAGATCTCATCTAGTTTCATATCCAAATTGGTCTCTAGCACAAAATCCTTATTCTTGAGTATCACAAATTTGCCCTCCTGGACAATCGAAGCATTCGCTGGCAGCATGGACACAAATGGATCCGAGGCGCGTATCTCCAGTTGACCATTAACCTCATGCTCCCGATCCGTGACAATAAAGGAAGCAGTGCCCACATCTGCACCGCTGTGCTGGAACATAATCCTGCGATTGGCAATATCATCCTGACTGAAACTGTCGACAAAGTGACCCGACTTATAGAAGGCACCATTCGTGCTAGACACATGGATATAGTGTATATCCGTATGATTCGTATTCACATCCGCATCAAGATACTGTAGCACCGTGGGATTTAAAGTGCGTATGCCATTCCGCACCACATGAAAAACACGCTCCACAGCGGTGCGATAGGGTTCATTGTCATTGACCAATTTAATGCGCACCTCCATATTCGCTACAAACTGCAGATCCGTCTCATCTCCCGAGAGTATAAGCAGCTCGAAGCCGTCCAGAGTTGACTCAGTATCGTCGTGACAGTAGTAGACATCATTGCGGAACAGCTGCTCCAGGGTGAACAGCTCAATGGGTGTCGTCAAGCCCGTCTGCTCATCATAGACACAAACTAAGCCATGCTGTGGTGGCACCGACACCTGAAACTGTAGACTCTCATAGATGTTGAAGCGTATCTCGAAGTGATTCTTCGTAATCAGAGCTCGTTCGCCCTCCTGCACCTGCAACACCTCGAACTGCTGATAGTGCAGCTTGTGAGTGAGCTCCTCGAGTGGATCGAATATGATTTGCAGCTTGCCGACAAGATCATCGCACTCCGCCACGGAAACGACAAACTCCAGATGATCCGTGTAGCTCGAATAGCAGCTGTGATGAGTCTTATAGTGTATACGCCTCTTATCTATATCCTGCTGTGTAAATGAGTCCATCTCCTTGGCCGCCTTCCGTGACCCCTCCACATAGATCCCACCGTATTTCGTTGGCTTGGTGATCTTGTAGATCACATTGCGTGGAAAACTGCCAATCGGCACCGTTTCATAGTTCAGCAAGTTGTTCGCCAGCAGAATTTCACGACTTCCATTAATTGCAATCACAGCGGGCGAATTCGAAGCAATGCGCAGCCGGGTGAACGTTATCCGAAAGTCAAAGGTTTGTGTCATCACAAAGCCAAATGAGGCAATAAACTGAGAGTTGGAGGTTAAACATAATGTATACAATTTATTATTCGAAATTGCGTTTTCAACTTTAAGTGCAGTACTATTCTAGAGATCAAATCATGATCAAAAAACCATAGCTTTGAAGAATCGGAATACATTTGAAAAAATTATGGTTGCGGAAAGTTTTCACTCATCCCTAAAATCATTAGTTGGGATAATAATTTTAAAATAAATCCTTGACAGAAATGTTGTAGTTTGATTCTATAGCTTAAATCTTAATCAAAAATCCATGTTTTTTAAAAATCGGTTTACTTTTGACAAGCCTAAAGCCCTTTTTGGAATTATAATTTTTTATATTGTTTTTACAAATCTCTTCAGTTTTGACCAAGTTATTAAAATTAAGACAATAAATGAAGGCATATATGTTGCAATTTCCGTATTACTTTCTACTCCAATTAACAATTAAATACCATTGTTGGCTAATAAAATATTGCTGTAATTTTAGTAATTTCCCAAAGAGTAGTTTGGCTTAAAGCCAATAATAAAACACATATACACACCTTAAATTCGTCTTGCCAAGGGAAATCGCTGCTGTGCAGATAGCGTATGTGGCCCAGCAGCAGTTGGCTGTCTGTGAACCATTCCACGTTCACCCAGGTGCCATCAATCTGTCGGAAGCGCTGCAGCACACCATGTGCCGGTGGCTTCACAATCTCATAGCGTATATCAATGTGCTCATCGACGGCATTTGTGCCAATGGAGAGATTAGCGGGTGTCAATAGAAGCGAACTCTTGTGGATCATAATCAGACCCGTATTGTTGACCACACGCAGCTCGAGAGGATGCACTGAGACAGGCAAATAAACCGTATCACTTGTCTCAATACCGTCGGAGACATGCATGAGCAGCTGATAGCTAAAGGATTCCGCTGCAGTGGAATTGTACAAATATGATACTTTGCCAAAATTCACATCCGCCTGGGAGAAGGTCATCGTGTCTATGCCACCCACCATAAAGCGGCCAAAGGCCTCCAGGGAATTCGCTGATGGCATTATGGTATAGATCAGATCACTTGGTTCACTATCCGGATCGGTTATATTAAACAGATCCACATCCAGTATTCGCTCAATGCCCTCAATGACTCTCAGGATTTTGTGGGAGTTCAGTTGCAGCTGGGGAGGATCATTTACAGCTGTTATATTCGCATGGAGCAGGAAGCGATGCTTGCCAAGAATATTTTCTGGTATCTTGTGCTGATCCCCATAGATTTGCATATCCAGCGTTGCATGATCATTGAAGTTCTCCAATCCATTGTGCACATACTTCAGTTTATCCGTTGCCAAATCCACCAGATAGAATGTGCGACAAGGCACAAAGTTGGCTTTCTCCGCCGAGTATTGTAGGAGCTGTCCAAATTTGGGCTGCTGCACCACATGAAAGACAATCGATTGCTCATTGAGACTGGGATAGCGTCGAGTGTCGAGGAGAACATTAATAATATGAGGCGAGAGGAAGGCGGTGCCGCCCTCTAGAAGTTGCATAGGTGAAACGTATAGAAGCTCCAGCTCCGGGCTGATTTCCGTGAAGATCTGTAGATGTAAAGGACTGTAAGTAAATGTGATTGAGTGGGAAAGCAAATAACTCACTTTGAAAGGACCTTGAAAATCAGCCTTAATGCAGTAGGATTGATCACAGTAGCAGATGAACTCATCGACGCCACGTTGACTGCAAATGCCGCTCTTCAAACAGGGATTGTGCTCCACACAAGGATACTTCCACACACAGTTCAGTGATAACTTGCGCGAGATGGTCATCTGACCAAAGCCCAGGGGCAGGCTATTCACCTGCAATTTTCGCATGCAACCTTTGAAACTGAGCTCATTGATGCGCAGTCCCTTGTTAATGAGACGACGACGCATCTCCTCCTGGACGCCGCCAAAGAAGACGCTCTTCTCGAGATTAATGCTCGCCTTTGTCTCATTAGCATGCTCGCCGCGATACGGCAATTGGGCATCGTCGAGTGTTAACTCCGCCATGTCGGCATTATAGCGCAGCATAACACGATGCCATTCGCCATCGGAGATGGTCTCATTTGTCACAAACTGCACCACACTGCCGGCCTTGTTGAACGTCAGCTTAAGTTTCTCATCCTCAATCTCCAGCAGCACAAAGTCATAGCCACCATTGAAGAACATCGTGCCCGACTCCGTCATCGTGCGAAATTGCAATGAGAGACTGTAATGATAATTATATGCTTTGTATATGACTGAAGAGGCTCGTTAAACCTGACTATGTATTAACAAACATAGTCTGATGTTTAATTACCAAATTAATATCCCTTAAATAAGTAGAAAATATACTTGACTTGGTTTGACTAAAATTCACTAAATCCTCTATCAATCTACATATTGCTGACGTACATAATAAATACATTTCGATAAGCTTATAAGATGAAAGATAAATTTGAAAAATTTCTACTTTTTGAAATACAATTTTTTTATTTAAATTGTAAGAAACAAAACTACTTCAGAAGAGATTTCTATAATTTGAAGATACTTATGCTAAGTTTGTAGAATTGCAATTATCTTTTTATTTTAAATATATTCTAATGAGAGAATTCCAACACGAATATTGAAATTGGAAATCGTTCTATTTTCGACTTACGTTTCGCCCATGGCATGGGATTCCTTGAGCATGAGTGCAAACGAATCATTGCTCAAGAAACTGATGCTGTCCTCAACACCGCCATCGAACTCATTGCTACAGATCCAGGCGATTCCAGTGCTGGTCGTGTGGCCTGTGCGATCTTTGGCACGCTTTATGATGTTGATATTGTTATAGAAGACCTGTCCATAAAAGAAATGAGAAATGAGGCCATCCACGCAGTCGATTAGTTCACATGTAGTTGGCGATCGTTAATGTATGCCACTCACATCGGATATGCAGCCGCGAAAGCCAATGACATCATTGAGAAACTCGGCGGAAAAATCGCCAACGCCTCCGAGGAAGGTGCCAAAATGTACATTCAGAGCCGGTGAATCGGCTGGCAGCTGTTTGCGCATAATGTGACCATCCACCTGCAAGGTGACATTATTCTCGAAGCGTTGCACGGCCACATCGTGCCACTCCAAATCGTTAAGCTTTTGCTTCTTTGGCGAGCGCAGCTGCAAGGAAACAGGGAAAAGGCAACCAGTTAATGTGTCCGGATGCTTGCGTACACAAAGAGAAAAATTTCGCTCTTAAGATAAGCCTGATAAGCACTGAATGGTGTAAAAATGTGCTTGATTCAAGTCTTCAAATATCAAGAAAAAAGGATGGTTATTCTTGAAACGATTACTGAATTTAAAAATACAATTTTTGAATTGCGTTTCTTCATTATTTGAATTAAAATTGTTTTAATATTTGAATACATTGTATTTTTTAGTTTTCCGATATTCAAATTCAAGTTTCAAGCATCTGGTTGACATTTTCTCGCTGTGTATGCAACTGGTTAACTGGTTAACCAACTCACCTGCACCACATCCCGTTCGATTTTATAGCTGAAACTGATGACTCCGCTCTCTAGTCGCAGCAGGCAGTAATCGGTCCGACCCGCTGCCAGAAAGAGGAAAGCGTTCTCCTGTTTGGTGCGAAACTTGACGCGTATGTTCGTTGACATTTTGCCCTCCTGCAGCGGCATCGACACATAGCCATCGCCAAATAGAGAAACTATATAAAAAATAAAATCAACAAAATAAATCCAAATTAAAATGGGCATTGCATCAGATATGCAATACATTTTTAGAGCTGCATCTGGCATGCTGCAACCTACAAGTGAGTTGATTGCCTATTAAGCAACTATACGAGCTCTAATTTGTCCAGGGCTTTTTGGCCAGCTGTCAGTTTGTCAGTCAGTTGTCTGTTTGTGCACCCTGTCAGTCAATCTATCTGCATACTGATATATCTATCTATCTATCTATCTATCTATAGATCCATCTTGTACTTGATTTGCTTAATTAGCTGTGTGTCTTGTTTAGCTCGTGTGCCCTCATTCTGCTCTAGCCTTGTTATACTCTCTGACAGGGTATCACAATTTGTTTGTGTTCATTTAAATGCTTGGACAATTAGAATTGGATTTTTAAAAGCTATGCATTTAAGTTATTATTTTTAACACAACCTTCAAGTGTCAATTGAAATTTCAAAAATGAAAGTGTAAACACAATTCGTTACTTATGATTTTCTCTAATTAGCATTTATTATTAAACAACGCATTTTCAAGGCAATTGCATGATTTATGTTCTGCGATTGCTCAAATGTGTTGGGCTTGTGCAATAAATTAAATCGAGAATTTAGTTGTCACATTTTACGGCTTTAGTTTGTTAGTTTTACAAAATATTCGAATGTCTCAACTTTGGCATCGATTTGTAGCATAAGCCATGCTACCAAATCTTTTTTTGACATGCACATATTGACCTAACCCACATGGAGAAATGTAAATAGATAAACATATATTTTTGAGCTGCTTGAATAAACATTAAACAGTTGCACACAAATGTTGCAGACGCCACAGATAAACTGACAACAGTCCAAAAGATAAACAAAGCAAAATGAGAAACAAATAATTTTGTTGTTTGTGTTGTTGTTCATTTTTTGCTTTTGTTGTGACTGTGTCTGCATCGGCGTCTGAATCGCCTGCGTTGGCAGAGTCATTTTGACACCAATTAGCAGCAATCAGGCGTCAAAAAGTGTCGGAAAACCTAAAAACACTTTCCCAAACTCAACTCAATGCGTTGACCCACATTAAAGATATCTGTTAAGAGATGCTCTTCTTGTTATTGCTGCAAAAGCAAAACTGAAAAAGATGCGCGGGTGTTTATCATGATCTGAACCCATTTATAATGGGTAACGCCGAAGTTTGCATACCCTTCCAGTATAAACTTAACAAACTGAGCAATATTAAATGGTATCATAATGTTGCTAAGCATTTGTATCTACATTACTTCTCAACTTTAATAACTGATTTTATTCCTCTGTTCTTCTGCCTTTTATACAGGGTATCTCTAAGTCAAATAATCGCAAATTGAGCACACTTTATTTATCATTTGTTTTTTGTAAACAAAGTGCATTTATCAGGAAGTAGCATTCGATTTGCATTCGCAGTCAGCTCAAATGTCGACGCACAACAAATGAGACGTTAACATCAGCCAACACCCACGTTGCCCGCAGCACTCCAACCATTCCCCTTGCTGCTCGTGTGCCATAACTGGCTGCAAGTAGCGCGTTGCAAGAATTATGGCAACAGATGCGTTGCAACTTGCCCAAGCGGCATGTGACATGGTCTACATCCCCAACTGCCGCTCCATGAAATTTATGTTTATCTTTCGCTACGGCAACTTTGGAGAAGGTAGGAAGAGGTATTTATGTTATGGCTAATGCTTAGTTTATTTGAGTTAGAAGTCACATTCAGTCGTTCAGTTGGCCGAGTTTATATGGTTTTATTTTTTTATTTTATATGTATTTTATGCATTGGCTTTGACGGCCACACAGCAGCATTTTCTTTCGATTTAATTAATGCGTTTTTGGTGGGCTTCAGGTATTCGATGTTCGTTTGTATTTGTTTGCGATGTGACATTCATTACAACATTTTATCTCGACATTGACAATTTATAATTTGTGATGCATTTTTGTTAGTTAATTTCGATTGTAATGTGACATTTTATTGCTTGGATAGGTGATTTGTGTGCTTGCAACGTGTTTCCGACTAAAATTGCCACAAGTTGCATTTTTAATTTATGGAGTTTCACTGCAGTTTTTATGAACCAGCACTAATTGGCGGAAATAATATGATGGTAAAAACATCATTATTGAAATTATTTATTGAATAAGCTTGCGGGCAAATTTATTGCTTGAACAGAGTTATGTAAGTATGGCTTCAGCTTAACGAGATATAATAGATTTTAATAACAATTAAGTAAGAAAGACAAAGTTGTCAAAGCTGCAAATGGGAATTGTATAGTGGTAGGCTTTAAATAATTAGTCCTTTATGACACGAAATCATAAGCATGATAATCACAATTCCTAACACATGATAACTACTCAATTCTCAGCTCGTTATTACTAGTAGATTTTTATAGATAGCCAAGCTACTGAAAGATAGTTGCTTGATAACACTTTCACACAGAGAAAACCATTTGCTCCCCTCGATGGCAATATACCCAACATTTTATGGCTTCATTATACGGCTTTAGAGATCAATTTAAATCAAATAAAATCGCCTTGAGCATATAGCATTATACATTGAAAACCCCATTCATTTTAGAGCTGCCCCATTTTATGGCCGCAGCAGATAAACATGTAGAATGTGCGGGGAGAGACGCATTGGAGCCTAATTAGACCCTGGGGCCGCATAGAATTCAATTATAAGTACGCTTATTGGCCTTTTTTTATTTTTGACTATCAACAAACAAATGACAACAGACAAAGCAAGAAACGAGAAACGAGCTAATGCAATCGACAAGTCATAAAGACAATTTTTCTCATGACTCAATTCCGGTGGTGATGATGACAATGCATTGAGCATGTGTAAAAAGAATGTCGCCAAAATGAATTTCAAGTATACATAAATGCAAGATGCACATCTGCACGACTTTAGCCGCCAGTTAGCGCTTGCATCTTGATATTTATTTTGGAAAAAAGAAGAAACATATATAATGAATAATCAAGCGAGCACATGGTGCACCACATACTCAGCTACTGAGCTGCAGATATATTTCTACCACACGAAAAGTGTTCAAATTGGCACAATGCGCTGAGCGCGTGCAAATAAATAAAAAACATTTCGTGTAGTCTAAATAAAAGTTCAAATGTAGCAAAAAAACAAACATTAAATTGAGGAAAATTCGCGGCAACTGTTTGCGAATGATTCACACGTCTTCCAAAGTGACGTCACGTGCCAACTAAAAATATCATTAAAACTACATTTACGCCCAAGACCAAAGAGCCCAAAATACGCGTATAGATACAAACAACATATATAGGTATATATATATACTTATACGTATATATGTAGTGATGAGAATTAAGAGCATGCCAGCTTTTGTGGTGCGCCACAGCGTAAGTTGCGCAGATGGAAACAAAGTGAGGAGACTTTGACGACAACAACAACAGCAACAAGAACAGCAACATTGACGACGACGACAAAAGTGCGCCCCAAGTCAAATGTCAAGCGTGAAAAATGCGTTAAGTGCACGGCGACGGCGCATTGTACTTAAGTAGTTGGATTTTATGACCAAGGCGGTTACCATGCAACGCGCACAGCACTTGAGAAAGTTGCGCCCTAAACAGAAACAAAAAAAAAACTGGCACAAGACCAAGCATGCAGCAACTGCTCAAGTTAGCCAAGCAAATTATATAACTATGTAACAATTTATCGCAAATGCGAAAAAAATAAGGCACTTTATGGCTTCAAATTACAATATTGCTTAGTAACATTTTATGTTTCTAGTCGTCAAGGCCAAGTTGTTGAACGGAAATTTCTCTGCAAGCTCTTAGAAAATAATTTCTTCACAGCATCTATTTTGAGTTTGAGGTTAGTGGGCAAAAATCTCTTTTAAATGTATTTAATTTATTGTGTGCTAAGAAATTACACAACTTGCTGGAACAGCAAAATTACTAAAGAGCTTTTTAAATAGTCAAGCCATTTAAAATATTTAACTAAATTGTTTATAATATGAACATACTAAATTTAAACATTTCTATAGTAAATCTTTTTGTTTTGTATATAGATATTTACACATTGCAAATTTCACACCAGCAAGTGGTTTTTTACATAGATTGGTAAACTTTGGAAAGCTGCCCACGTCGAGATCCCTGAGGCCTGGTTGCATTGCGTATGTGAGCTGTATATGCATGGAGAAGCTCTCTTTCAAAAACTTTCTACGCTTACTCAGCTTCTATTGGGCTTAATGCTGCCCACAGTGCCTGCCATTTAACACACATGCAGCGCACGCGAAAAAAGGATGGAAAAAAGTATCTTGACTCTGCACCATTTGCAACTCTTTATTTTGACTTTTATTTATTTGTTGGCAGCTAAGTAAATGCAATTTGGACATTGCCCACGTTGCTGCCAAAAAAATAAAAGAGCTGCAGACTCTAGAGCTGCACATTGGCTGCTTCTGCTCGAGTGTCGCAGCTCCTCTTTTTTTGTATTATTTTGTGACCAATTCGTGTCTGGCCATATTTGTAATGAGCATAAATCGTGCGTTGATCATTTGCCATGATAAATCGCATGTTTATATGCCCCAGCTGTAAGTATTAAGTTTAGTTTTTTTTTTTGTTTGCCGGTTAACCAGCTACTGACTGCGATTTCAAGAGCGTAACATTTAATTAACTGTTCTGCTTGGGCTTACCTTTCATAGACATTGCCGTATGCAGCAATTGCACGGCCACCAGGAGCAATCCAAATCGAAATCCACAGAGGCGCAACATTGCGCTGCAGCTGCTTTGAAGTTCTTAGATTACAGGCCCCAAGATTCGTTTGCAGCAAGCAGCAAGCAGCAGCAGGAGTTGCTTCGTCGTTTTTCGTTGTTGTTTTTTTTTTTTTTGTTTTGGTCGTTTTTAATAATTCTGCGTGTTAATTGATTTTTCATGGGGCCACGCATCCGTCGTCGTCGTACGTCTGTGTGTATGCGCGTGTGTGTGTGTGTGTTGAGTATCTGTGTGGAGCAGTGTGCTCATAAAAATAGCAACAACTGAGGCACAGCAGCACGTCCTGGTCTACGGCAACGACTACGGCTACATAGACAGATGCTGCATGTCATTTCGTTGACAGAACTCATGCGTTTGCACTAGGGGGGCACACAGACAAATCAGACGGATAGACAGACGGACAGACAGTTAGACGAACAGTCACACTTATAGACAGACAGTCCAATGGGGCTGCTTTGATGCTGTCTATATAGGATTTACTCTTCTTCTGCCTTCCGATGCACATATGGATGGATCGGTATATTTCTTGTACTTTTTTGCTTGATTACGTTTCAATTTGCTGTTGAAGCATTTTAAATTGTTCACACTTTTTTCATCTTTTTTGCTGAGTTGCTAAACGATGAGTTTCCAATTATGTTTATCTCTTTCTACGCGCACTGAAAATATAAAATTTCTTGTATATATAATAGTTGTGTCTGATTATTTTGATTCATTTTGAATTTTATTTCATCTACTTTCAAGGCACTTAATTTGTTTTTATTTTTACTATCAGTTTTAAAGGCACAATTAAATATTTTAATAGTCAAACATTTATCAACAGCTGACGTTGGAAATTTGTGCTCGATTGAAGTTTTATCGGTCTCGTTTTTTTTTTTGTTGAGTAGTTTTGATTTAAATAGTAATATTTGGAATTTATAAAATAAAATACTTATACTTTGAATAATGGTATTTTAAAGAATTAAAAACCAGTATTGTATTCATTTTATTTTACACTGGCGAAGAGTTTATTATTTTTGCTGTTAAGTATTAATAATTATTAGAACTAATATTCTTTTATGGCTTGAGTTCACTTATTAAAGTAAGTTGTTTAAAATATAATGAATTTGAATTTGTAAATTGTTGCTGATTTATTTGATTTATTTATGTATAACTGGATAGACGATAACTTGTCCCAATGAGTTATTTCGGTTCTCAAAACTGTATTTGGGGCGCCAATCTTTTGATAATATTGAAAAATGAATCCACCATTGCTGTCGAGTATTTTCGCTTGGCAGAGCCCAAAGACCAATTTGTTGCAGTGCCACATACATATACATATATCATTGATTAGCGTATCTGGATATTTTATGGACACTTAATTGAGTTGCAGCCCAATACACCCCGCAGTTGTTATTCTTAAGGCGCTTCCACTTCACTTCAAACTGCGCAGCAGCAGCACCAACAGCGGCAGCGATTCGAAGCTGGCGCTGAGTAAAATTTATTGTATTTTGGGCCAAGTGAGAGACGCCCATAAAAAGCTACTTAAGTGGCATGCCACGCAGCTTAACATTGTATATGATACATTCTCTTCCTTTTTTTTGTTTGTAGCTTTGGTTTTGTTTTGTTTTGCGGTAAAGTGGAATTTCTAGTTCATGATGATTTTGCAATGTTCAAGTCAAAGTTCAGTGCAACGCTGACCGGCAGGAAAATTGCAATTTCAAAAATAACAAAAATAGAAAACAAAATGTAAGTTTCCAAAAAGATATCAAAAAGGCCAAATAGGGCGCACAGACACTTCAAGTTTAGATGGAAATCAACAGTGACGCGAACGCAAATCCCTTGGGATATTAAAGAAGGCCCCGACGGGATGTTAGTTGGAGAAAAGGAAGGAAGGGGAGGGCGTTGGAGACAGAAAGACGAAGCATTTCCCGTTATTGCCGCTTTGGAGCCACTTTTGTGCAAGATTCGTGCGACGAACGTCAACAACTGTGACTGGAAAATGAATTATTTACGCCTTGGGCATCTAAAAATACGTAGACGTCGAGTCGGGAATGGGAAATGGAGAGTCGGGAACCGGGAATCGGGAATCGAGATCGGTGCATAAGTATTATGAATACACTTTAAATTAATATTTGGCATAGCATAGAGAAAGCTGACATACTTTTGGGGGCGTTTCTTTTTCAATCAAATATTATCAATTATTACCTTTCTAATTTACAAGGTCGATTTATCGAAAGTTTCCAATGTAGAATGTATTACTATGTCTGTATTTTATGTAGGACATATTTTTCTCTGAGTGTATGTTCAGCACGTAAACTATGTCTATGTTTGATGTGAGCTCGAGAGGCTGGCGAATGCGAAAAGCGACGCCAGGTTCTCCTTCGACATCCTGAAAGGGGTCAATTGCAGTTCAGCCCTTCGGCTTGTTAGCGCTCATTCAACTAATTTTGCTTGCTCATTTTGGATTTTTATGTGGCGTTGTGGTTGGCAGTCATTAGTTTTATGTCCCCAACACAATTCGAAATGCCTGTCGGGAGGCGGAGTGGCGCAGTGCATCCAAAAGTGACAATCGTTGGGAGAGTTTTATGACAGGCACGTGTTTCGAACATTTACATAAAAATTCATAAATGTATCTGTCAGATGCAAAGGAGACACCTAAATTGAGTCGAGTCACCTAAGTATGTGCAGCTGCATTTTTGAGAAAGTTCTACCAACAATTTTTAGATATGTCAGCCAGATATATATTTTATGGTAATTAAAATTAGTGGCACCCAAAACAAAACGCCTATCGCTTGCCGCTCTTTTAGTAGTCGGAATCAATTTGATAAGCCAAAAGACTTTGGGCTGCGGCTATTTTGGAGTTATCTATTTTTTTTTTTCTTTGTAGGCGTCTTCCCACACCGATTTTCAACACTTTCCCATACTGGCAAATGGAGCTGAAGTTGGCAGTGGATGCGCTGGCTGTTTAAGTATACGTATTTGGAAAACTGAATGACCTTTGAGTCATTATTGAATATGCTTGTTGAATACTTATTTGTGTCCAGTTCTTGGTGGGAGTATTGTTGGCAATAAATATATATTATATATATTAGCATTTGTTGGTGCATCAAAATTGGATTGTTTTGTCTTTTAAAGTGCTTTTTAGCTTTTCATGCTTTAATGGAAAACATTATCTTGGTTTGGTATTACTATTTTATAGTATTGCTTAAATTTATTTATGAATTTGTGTATTCAAGTATTGCGTTTTTCAAGTGCTCTCCTTTTTTAAATTGATTGTATTTTAGATATTTGATTCACTAAGTGTATTTATTTATTTTTGATTTTTTTGGAAACGGTTTCGATTAGCGAGATCACATGTGTGGCACACAAATACATAAGTGAACATATGTACTTATATCTATGCATATATCTCGAATGCCTCTTAGCACAAACACAACACAAACAAACAGCATCCAAATTCACGGTCAATTTGCACTGGGAAGCAGTGTGGGGATTTCTTGTGTATATGTGCACATCTTGTGTACATTTCTTCACATGCATCTGCATTTTCACTTCAACAAGCGTTTCCATTCAGTATTTCTTCTTTTTATCCAGAATTCTTGATAAAAACGACAAAAAAAGCGCCGACAGCGGCGAACGAAAACCGAATTCGAGAAACCAGGAAAATAAATAACTTAAAAATAAATTAAATTTTTTAACTGTGCGGTGGATGGCTCAGTGAGGCTTTTCCACTTACTGCACAGGCACACACAAGACAGAATATAACACACACATATGCAGGCACACACGCACACTCACATTCAGGGTGCGCAGAGTTTTCCGCGACGTTTGCCGCCACCCGCAACAAGAACAGCAGCAACAGAAAACGTATTCGAATTCGTTCGATGAGCGAAAAGCGCTGTCCAGGCAAACAAACGAAAATCACCGAACAAGCAAACCCAAAACGAACTAAACTGCCCGACGTTTTCTCACAGACTGACGGCACCCAAAACCGAATGCCGAATACCGAATACCGAACCGAACTCGAAAAAAGAAAATTCCGCACGCAGTGTGCGCAATGCGCAGTGAGACAGTCAGACAGACCCCGAAAGACCCCGACAGACCCCGACAATCCGACAGGCCACGGCGCACCCGCGAGTCACTTTTACGCGCGTTCACTTCTCGCTCCTCTGCTCAGCGAACTCGGGCGCAGGCGAAGGCGAAGGCGAGCACAGTCCAATAAGTATGAATGTATCTAGATAACAGTGATGAGCTCTATTGCAAATTAATAGAGCGTATGTGTATTGAATGAACGAATAGTACTAGTATTATTTTATATTATTACAATATTCCTTTCATTATTTATTTTTTGTTTGTAAAGTCACTCACTGCTATTGTCTCTCAGGTTATTCAGCTATTTCTTCCTACAGTTTGACATTAATTTGAGTAAAGAGAGATCTGTGAAATCTGTTAAAAATAGTTTTTAGCCCTAATTTGATTCATTGGGTGCATTCAGAAGAAAAATCTGATAAATTATGCTTAATACGAATCATGATTGTATCTGCTGAGTGCGGAGACTGCAAAGGTGGCACCACCAATAATAGAATATCGAGAGATTAGTCAAATGTATTTGTTAATAAAAAATAATGTAAATGAATTGAATGTATAAACTAATTAATTTATATTTTATTAATTTCAACTTATAATTTGTATTTTAACTAATTTAAATTTAGATAGAAAAATCGTGCTTTTTAATTTATAATTATAATAGTTCACTTGAGCTCGCTTCTTAGTTTCAGTAGTATCTAGTCACAAGTGAGGCACTTATTCAGCCACTTGCGCATCTCTGGAATATATGAGCACTAAGCTTACTGCAGCTCGTACTCAGTGTACTTCTGTCCCAGCTGATGATCATCAACTGATGTTGGTTCCCTTTGCAATCTTCTGTGTGGCTGCTGGCAGTGAGCACGCGAAAATCGCGCGATTGAGCAATTGTGAGCACCAAGAGGCTGAGGACTTGAAATTTTTCAATTTGTTTAGCGGTGCCGCTGCCTCAGTTGTTGCCCCTACTTTATGTTGCTGTTGCTGTTGCCGTTGCCGTTGCTGCTGTGGCTGATGATGATCATCAA